GGGGGGGGGCAGGGGGGGGGGGGGGGGGGGGGGGGGGCAGGTCAGCGAGGGTCTTGGAGGTGGTTACTCGGAGTGTTATTCTGATTGAGGTGGCACTCACTGGAGGAACAGAGCAGAGCTATGATCTGATCTGTATTTTTAGAGGATCAAAGATCAGTCTGAAGGGTGGAACCTGGGGGCATGTGCAGAAAGCAAGGAGATGAATTAGGATGCTGTTGTAGTCATCTCAGAAGATAAAAATCATCTGGATCAAGATCGTAGCATAGCAATGGTGAGTTCAATTTCTGGCTACTTTTTGCAAGTCAAATAGACCTAGAATTTGCTGATAGACCATATATGGGATGCAAAGAGAGGAGCCAAACAAAGGTGACTACAAGATATTTGTCTTGCCAAACCATTCTCAGAAATTGAGAAGGCTGTGGGAGGTGCTGGCTTTGGTAGTGGTAGGGAAGATGAGAAAGAATTTCATTTTCGACACATTAAGTTTATGATGCTTTTTAGACACTTAGAGATGTCAGGCAGTCAGCCAGGTCTGTGAGTCTGGAATTCAAGGGAGAGGTCATTACATCTGGAGACATTACATTTGGTTGTCTTCGGGGAATGGATGGCATTTCCAGCCACAGGAATTGGGTGAGGTAATTGTAAATCTGAGTGCATGGTGAAAAGTCACAAGGTTGAATCCAGTTTAGAGTTCGGGGAGATGGAGGCAAACAGACAGAAGAAGAAGAAGAAGAAGGAATAGACAGTGAAGTAGAAGAAAAATTCCCAAAGAATGTTACCCAGATGCCAAGTGGGGAAAAAATGTTTTACAAAATAAAAGATCGTCTGTGTGAATAGCATTTTTCTTTAAGCGGATGAGGACTGCTGGTCTCCATTGTACTTATCAGTGTGCAGTCATTAGTGATCTTGGCAAGGGGTGGTTTGGTAGAGGTAGGGATGAAGTAGATGTGGAAGGAGATATGGAAAGGTGTGTTTCAAGGGAAAAGGAGAGGAGAAGCTAAGAAGGAAATCTGTCCAGGGAAGCAGAGAAATGGGATGTTGGCTCCCAGCTATATGAGGTAGAGAGAGGGTATAATAGAGATCAGAACATTCTAGCCTGTAGGCTTATCCACTAGAGAAGAAGAACTGATTACTACAGGCAAAGACAGGACAAATTCTGGGCTAATATCTCAGTTTAGGTAGGATGGGTAGAACCAAGAGAGGAAAAGCTGGAGGAGCTGGCATTCACAAGAACCAGAAGAGCAGGGAATGGTGGGGATGCTTGTAATCCTGGTGATCTGGGAGGCTGAGGCAGGAGGAACACAATTTCAAGTCTTGTGTGGGCAACATAGTGACTTAATGAGACCCCATTTAAGAAAAAAAAAAATTAAGTCCTTGTTTCAGTTCTCCAATACTGAAAACAACCCTTCCCTCAACAAAACAAAACAAGCAATTCGCCTGTAGACACACACAGCTGTGAAAGGCGGGTCTCTTAAGAGTTATTCTGTTTTGATTTCTTCTGTCTTACAAGGCCAAAGAGAGACAGGCAAGGGGACGGACATCAGCAGCAATGGACTGCGGACTAAGGTGAGAAGGCAGGAGAACACGAGGAGAGAGAGGTCTGAATGGGTTATAGTACGAAATGATAATAGTACTAAAGGCTTCAAAAACTGACAATGCATCCTTAAGAGGAAAAAGCAAATCTTTATCAAATGGGTGAGCAATACATAAATTTAAATAACCTTGCTGTGTTTATATTTATCATCTCAAAGATAAATTCTTAGTGGTAAGTCTGACTATAGAGAGTAGTTGCTGAAGGTTGTTTTAATTTTCCGGAATCATTCTGAGCCTATAGTGAATTTTGAGTATTTCGGAAGCCAAGTTCAGCATCAAAGAGCCAGGAAGTGCAATTGCCAGGGTCACTGGCCTCCCTGGTCTCGTCCCAGCCCCTGCTCCAGCATCGGACTATGGGACAGGCAGGTGCTCTTGATCTCTCTCCTCCTCTGGTACAGGCATCGGCTGCCAAGTGTGGAGCTCTGCGTGTCCAGCTTCCGTCATGGGTAATGCGCATGTGCAAGTGGGGACCGTGTAGGGAGTTAGTAGGATGAGAGATTTTTAACCCATGGGAAGTAGGAGCTGGTGGAAAATTTCTTCCCTCTATTTCCTCCTCTGGCAGCTTGTGTGCAGGAAGCTGGGCGTGCGAGTTCCAGGTTGCTGGAGGTCTTCACTGCCCTCAGCAGTGCCCCTCGGCAAGGGTTGTACAACTTCCTTTTTCTTCCGGCTGCTTCCTTCAACTTCCGCTGCTCTGGGGATCGTCCTTCCTCACAAAGCAGCGGCCTGTGAGCCCTCAGCAGCAAACTCTGCTCTCTGGGAACCCAGACTGAGACAAACACTTTACTATTCTGCCAATCCCAATAAAGAAAGGAAATTTTATTTCAACAAGTCATTTGTCATGTGCATAAGCACCAAGAGAACCTGAAAAATTTTAGCTTGAGATTAGACTCTGTAATTTTTCTTTTCTTAGACTCTTATTGATGTATGATTTTAATCATTAGCTAACGTTTATGGTCTTAAATTCTGCTGATTCATTTTGTGTTTATTAAGACACGGTAGAGGTGATTATTCTGATATAAAGAGTTAAAAAGAAAAGTTAAAGTATAATTATTTTTATTATACTTTGTACATGTACAAAGATTTAAAATATTTCCTTTTCTGGCCTTTGCTTGAAGGTCTTCAAGGTCCTTTCAAGTAACAGAGAAACAGCTCTTTTCTCAGTTTTTCTAACTTCATGGCTTGGTGCTGTCCTCAGTGATTTTTCCCCCTCTAAAATACAGATTCGCTCTGCTCAAGCTCTGCTCTTGAAAGCGGTCCTCAGGTCTTCCTCGCTGGGAATTTAGCTCAGATTCATAGTGTGAACTGCGACTCGGGGCTCTCTGCTGTCCAGCCTCCCCGCACCCTGGGCTCTGTTCCATCCCTGAGTCAGGCGACTTTGATGCTTCTGGCTTAGGGAGCTCAAGCACTTCCTTTCTGCAGAAATTTCTTCTTCCACACCCGCTCGGATTTGATCTCTGTCTTCTAAGCTGTCTTCTGTGCCCTTGCCTGTTGCATAGAAGGAAGCACACTGAATTACAATGGTTCTTCTCTTTAACCCTTTCATTCTCTAGCAAGAAGGAACAAAGCTTTGCTCCTTTTAGGATTTTTTTGAGTGGGGATACAAGGGATCGAACTTGGGACCTTACGCTTGTGAGGCAGGAGCGGCACCACTGAACTAAATCCCTGGCCCCTGCATACTGAGCCTTTAACACAGTTCTTGGCACGTAGAGTTCATCAGTAAATGTCGTTGCAGTTGCAGACAACAAAACCATGCAAGCTTTATTGAAAACTGTTGCAACCGGGTTGAAAGATTTACAATTAATTGTCTTTCTGGAAATTCGAAGAATCACCCTGCCCTTCCCGGACTGTTGTCCCTAACCCACTTCAGCAGAATGAATGGAAGTTACTAAAAGCTTCATCTGGAAATTCTGGGATCATAGTACACTTTACTATATGGAGATATAAAAATTACTTTTAGATTCAGCTTAGTGTCATTAAGGAGAATGTTCAAGGTTTACTTGTGGTCAGTGTTATTCTGTAAGTACGTCAGCGGCAAACTGGATGGTGGATCATTCTGAAAATCATGGTGCCAAGCTAACCTAGTCAAACACAGAAATTTTGGTCAACTGGGCTCCCTGAGTCAACCCTGAACAAAATTGCTGTTGGAAATATGAACACTGAAGATGCTAGTTGTGTGTGGTTGGGGGGAGCATGTGCTGTGGCCACAACTCACTCTCTGCACAATCACCTGCATTGCCTTTTAAAGCTATGAATTAGCTGTCAACATTTAAAAGTTAATATATTTGTCACACACACAGTTTAGATCTAAAATGTCCCCTCCAAGTCTCATGTGTTTGGAAGCGGGCTGAATCATAAGGACATCGTCATGGCCAGGGAGTTCATCCACCCATGAGTTTAGTAGCTGAATGTGGTGCTAGCAAGTGGGCCCTTGCTGTAGGTGGGCCACTGGGAGTGTGGCCTGGAAGGATGTATTCTTGTCCCCAGTTCCTCCCTTCTGCCTGCTTCTGGGCTGCCATGGCTGAGGCTTTTCCTCCCCCAAGCCCCTCTTCCATCCTCTTTTCACCTCAGAACCCACTGACATTGGACTGAAACCACAAGCCCAAATGAGCCTTTGTGTCTTCAAGTTACCAGTGTCAGGCCCTGTGTCTCAGCACCACCAAAGTGAAGGACACATACACATAGGCACAAAATCTAGACTTCCCTTTTCTCCTGAAAAGTGAACCAATTTGGAGACACTGGGTCCATGTTTGGTATAAGGCAGTGATCGGCTGGAGCTGTGTCCTGAGTAGGGCAGGTGGCCGTCTCTCCGTGCCGGTGCTAGTTGTTACTATTTTGGTTGGGAGATTCTTACTCTTGGTTGTGAGGCACATTAAAATGACATTCTTTCTGTTAGTGCCTTTGTCCCACGAAACAGTGACCTTATTTTATTGTAAGTCATGACCCCATACGATGCTTTGTACAATAGAAGAATTTAAAAATTTTATCTGAATAAATGTAAATATTTTCTTTGTACCATCCTATCATTTACTGCCTTTATATCTCCAAAGCTAAACTGATGTCTCCCAGGACCAACCGTAATTTTGCTATTAGGTTTCCAAGAACCAGGTTAAATAAAGTCATTCAAAATAATTTGGATCACTCAAAATATCTGTAGTTTTGGATTACTCAAAATATCAGCTGCTAAAATTTAGTACTGTATCTGCTTTCCAATGTCTTGTACCATCTCAACACATTTCTCCTGTGTTGTGTTGTGTTCTGCTAGTTCACAGTGGCAAGAAACACAGCAGGAGGTGACATGATGAAAGTGTTGCCGTATAATTTAAAGACTACACTGTTGTTGGAAGCAGACACCTGTGATTAATTCAAACCCTGGGAATTTATAATGAAACTACGGTGGGGGGGAACTAGAGAAGTCCATGACCTGATGGATGAATGGCCTACTTCTCCAGCCAAAAGGTAGTTTATGGTATGGAAGAACATTGTTTTCAGTGAAGGTTTCAGAGCCTGCCATGTATCAGGTAAGTCATTGCTGTTTTCTAAATTTGGTTAGAGTCACTAAAAGACAGTCTCAGTAGCAAGCATTTAAGATAAGCATTTTCATTTTTACATTTTAATGAAAGTCATTTAAATTATTTAAATCTCAAAGCAGATATCTTACGCCAAAGCACTGTTGCCATATCTCTCTGGATATATTATGTTAAAATATGTTTTGTTTTGTCAAAGAGATAACCAGGCTCCCTTCTTTACTGCAGCACTATTCACAATAACCAAACTATGGAATCAAATGAGGGTGATTCCAATCATTCCAAGATACGGAATTCAACCAATGGATGAAGGGAAAAGACATCTGAGGTTTATGTACACAGTGGTACGGTATTCTCCATAAAAAATGAAATCTTGTCTTTTGCAGCAACATGGGTAGAACTGGAAGTTATTACATTGAGATAAGCCAGACACAGAGAGACACATAGCCCATGTTGTCAGTGACTCTTTGTGGAAATTAAAAAGCTGATAATGAAAGGATGGACAGGGGTAGTGATCATCAGAAACTGCGAAGGGTGCGAGGGAGGGAGGAAAGACAGAAATTAGAGAGCAGATACCGAAAACACGAAGAGGAGTATTTGTTCTGGTATTATAGAGCTGGGTAAGGTAACTGTTGATTACCATAATCTGTGATCTATTTCAGATTAAAGGAGTATGAAATTTCCAACAAATAAGAATAATTAATGTTTGAGGAGGTGGAAATCCTTATTACCTCAACTTTCTTATTATACAGTATCTATGCATACATTGACATCATATTATATGCCATAAAGATGTTCACATTATGTCTTAATAGTAAAAAGAAAAAGATATATTTTGTTTTAAGTGGTAATTATCAGTTTTCTCTTTTTAAAGTAACATTTTAAAATAAAAGTAGTAAATGTTTACCACTAAATTTTAGCAAGCACAGGAATATTAAAATTACTGATAAATGTTGTACTGAAAGATAAAGAGTATTAATATTTTAGAGTATTTCCTTGCAATGATTCTCTTTAGATTCACATCTACCTACTTTCCTTAATCTATATCTGCACCTATATCTTTGTATATATTTAGAATATTAACAACCATTTTATTTTTGTGTGTGTGTGTTTTTTGAGACAGGGTCTCACTATGCTTACTATGGAGCTGAGACTGACCTGGAACTCACTATGTAGCCCAGGCTGGTCTCGAACTCACAGTGATGCTCCTGCCTCAGCCTCCCAAGTGCTGGGATTACTAGGCGTGCACCACCACGCCTGGTGTACAACCATTTTTTATATCTCATAGTTGGACCTGGAATTTGACAGTGGTCATTAGTGGTCATTTCTTCCTCTTCTCACATGGCATTGTTGGAGGTAACTTGGTGACATTAGGTTGACAAATGGGCTGGTTTGGGAGGTCTAAGATGTATATCCTCACCCACTTGGTGCCTTGATAGGGATGGCTGCATAACTGGAACAATTGGGCAAGTGAATTAGTTCTAGTCTTGTCTCTCTGAGCACTTCTATATGACTGTTTAGGCTTCCAAACAGTGCGGGGCTGAGTTATAAGAGTAAATGTTCCAGACCATCAGGTGTGTGTGTGTGTGTGTGTGTGTGTGTGTGTGTATGTGTAATATGATTAGAATTCAACTGTATCCTCATTTTTGAATCCTGCCTCTTGAAGTTTGAGATCATGTTATATGCATCATCTGATTGCATAAAGGTTTCTTGGCAATTGATTTTGATAGCTGCATAAAGTCACATATTATACAACATAATTTACTTAGTCATAACATTGCCACTCAACTAAGAAGTAATATTTTGACTAGACTATATATAATAAAATAACATTTAATACATTTAGACAAATTTTGTATTGGTTCTTTAATTTGTAGTTCAGTAAGTAAAATTAACTGTAAATATGAAGAATTTGGAGACTCAGATTATCAGATTGCTCTTCAGAATTATAGTGCTTATTCAGATTATCACGATTAATGCTGATTATTTGTCTCACTAGAAATTCATTGGCATTTTCATTTTTAAGTCTTCATACATTTGACTAAGTTATAAATATTGAAGTTATCTGGAATCACTAATAAGGCTGTGGTTTTCTCATGTTTATTATTGATATTATGTACTTTCATGTACATAGTTAACACTATTTTTGAAATGTTTATCTTAACTACCTATTTTAAAGGCAAAATTTGTGAAGTGTATTTTAGTATTTTGAGCAGAAATTCAACCTGATATGACTCATTTGCGTATGTTTTTGACAATGTCATGAATTTTCAATCAAACTTTTGACAGATGTTTACTAATTTTTATTATAGGCATGGTTTTACTTACTTTTCTACTTAATCTAGGTTATACAGGAAATAAAAATTAGTGTGATTATGTAATTTAAAAAAATCCCTCCTAGAAAAGATACAAAATATTCTCTGGAATCAGAATTAAAACTTGGTTATTCTGAATCTTAAAATAGCAAGTGGTTTTTAAAAAATGTTTCCCCAATTCTAAAAGTTTTATTTATTGGATATTGCCTGTTTATTTTAAACAAAAAACCATAACTTTGAGCTATACTTTTTCTAAAACAGAAACAATTTGATTATTATTTCACATTAGTGTTCTATTCATAGTTTTTCAAGAGAGAAGAATGACAATACATTTTACCTAAGAATCACCTAATTTAAAAAACTGTCTGAGTTGCTTAAAGGTTATGATTTCCTTTCCTTTTTCTTTGGTGTCCAATTCAGGACATTGTAATTCAAGTTATAAAAGTAGTGAAAAGTAAAATGGCTGATAGATATAATTACATAATAGATGTGTACTCTGAATGAGAGGGACGATGAAGTTTATTGTGGAAATTCACTGCACAATTTCAGTAGCAGTATCACAAATTGCCTTAGAAACAAAACAAAACAAAACTAAAAGAAGGCAGAAAATCTCAACAAATTATATGTGTGTGTGTGTGTGTGTGTGTATAAAATGAAAATGTTTCATTGTGATGTCCTGCCAAGATTTGTCCTCAATAAATTCAAAGACCTTCCCTTTACATTCCAAAATTCTGTAAAGTACTTTGGTGTTGATTTTGAAACATATATTTTCTCAAATAATTGTTACTGAGAGCCAGTTTGTTTGATGTCTGCTTACTTGCCTGCGAGTCATTTTCTCTTTTCGTCCTTTCTGTCATTGCTTTGTTATGTAAGTGTTTCTCTAAACTAGCTTGGCCACTACATTATCCTTTTGGTGGTGATTAGGATTGCAGGTTGAGCTAGCAACATGAATAAAGCTGAACATGTTTTTTTCATCTCTTCTCCCTGCTGTATTTTGTGATCCTGAAAGGAATGCTTGCAGTAGAGTTATACTACCAGTTACGTAATGTGATACCATATTAAACTGTAATTGCCCTTCCAGCAGACTAACAAAGGCAACATGCTAATTTTTGTATTAAGACACAGTGCAATAGCACACAATTGCATGATGCTATTTCATCCCCTTTCTTCTTGAGACCTGCATAACAGCCCCCTTTATTGCTGATGGGTTTCTAATAATGGTGTCCATGTGGCTTTGGAACAACAGTAGAATGTTAATTTATTCCCTAGTGTTACCTAGAGGCCTTCACGTGGGTCCAGGACTGGTGACGCCCTAATTTAAATACTGGGTAGGACCAGGCTGATCAGGTGGCTCAGAGCTCACACAATGGGCTGTGAGGGGAAGCCTGGCTCCCTGATCAGAGCAGATCAGGAGGATTCCAAGTGTAATTGGCCTCTGGGGAATGCGCAAGTCACTCTTGCACACCCCCTTCAGACCTCCTTAATGCCTCGCCAGCTGGAAGGAAAAATGCCTTCTTGTATTGCCCACAAAGGAAGTGGAGGGATGTGGGGTGAAGAACTGGAGAAATTTAAAAAAGAGGAAAGAGACAGCTCCATGAATGAAGAGGTGGGTAATAACATTGAGCATCTAAAAGCCTGGGGAGTGTGTCATAAACAAATGGGCTGCAATGGTCAGTAGACAATTATATCCTGTTACCTCATTTAAAATGCTGACTAATTACATAGAGCAAGAGGAAATTAGCACAGGAACCTGATTCCTGCCAAGTCCACATCAAAATGCTCTAAAATAAAAAACATGAAATCAGTCTTCTATGGCCCTAAAAGAACTTACAGTTCCTGAAGTTTGAACATCTGCACAAAGTATTCTTAGAAAAGTATAAAAAGATATTCACATTTCAGAAATTAGACTTGTAAATGTACCCTTCATCCCAAACAAACAAACAAACAAACAAAGCAAAGCATGAACAATCCATGTAGTGTCGTTTTCTTTACCCTGAAGTATTGTTTAAATCCTGGACTCCCATTCTACTTGCTTTATATCAAATAATGACTTGCTGAAGTGGGAAAGTATCTCCTTGGACAGAATTGGTCCTGAAATTTCCCCAGGGATAGCTTTAGTTTGTTTCAGGACTTAACTGAATATTTGAGGTTCTTATTCAAAGAAGTGCTGATAAATACTAGCACTGCATCTTGGATTTTCTTTTTTTCACAACTTTTTCTTCTTGAGCACAGTATTTTTGAAAATCAAATCACTTTCTTCTATTGACACACAATTTAAAGATTTGTCACCATTAAAAAAATCAATTCTCTAAATAACTTATTACATAAAGCCCCTGAAACTTTAATATATGTGCTAAATCTATAAAATACATGTAGGCATGCAATAGTGGAGAGATTCAGTAATCTAAAACTGAAAGTGAACTTGGGTAGTGAGGTGGCCTCTCTGAATCCGGATTTGCTGGTCTTTAATGTTAGCCAGGAAAGCTTTGCAAAGGACACATTAGGATTCTGAAGTACCTAGGTATCAGAACCCACTCAGGGATGGGCATTAGGGTTTCACCTTGCTCTCGACCAGACACTACCTTTACCTTTTTAGTATGGAACTTTTGAGCAAAATTTCTTTTTGTAGAAAAGAAATATTTCATACTGGTTTAAAAATATTTCAAGAGTGCTGAATAATAGTTCATTGTTCAGATGGGCCACAGTTTATGTATTCACTTACTGAAGGATGTCTTGGTTGCTCCCAAGTTTTGACAATTATCAGTAAAGCTGCCAGGACTGTGTGCTCTGGTTTTTGTGTGGACATAAGTTTTCAACTCTTTGGGTAAATATCTAGGAACGCAATCACTGGATCACATGGAAAGAGGATGTTTAGTTTTGTAGGAAATCCCCATGCTGTTGTCCAAAGTGGCAGTATCAAAGTGTACTAAAGGGTTTGTGCACGACTAGACAGTGGAGTGTTACTCAGAGCCCCCCCAAAAAAAACAAACAAAAAAACAAGCTACCGAGCTATGAAGAGAGGAATTTTAAAGTCCTAACGAGAAGTGAAAGAAGCCAATCTACAAAGGCTACCTACTATGTGTGTCTGGCTATATGGCATTCTGGAAAAGGAAACACATGGAGATATTGAAATGATCAGTGAGGGGTGGGGGCAGGGAGCGGGAGGGGGTAGCAGGAAAGGGGGTATATAGGTGGAGCACAAATCCTTACACTTAAAGACAAAAAGATTTTATTTTCCATTGATAAAAAAGTCTTTTCAGGTTATTAACTTAAATAACCCTTTTGAGTGGTAGGCATGTTGACACCTTTGACTTGCTGTTTTAATTGGATTGTTTGCTGTTGGCATCAGAGAGGGAAGATTGTCTTTTAAATTTCATCCTGCTTCAGGTGCAGGGCTCTCCCTGCCCCATTCTTGTGAAGGCAACACTGTCATAGATTTATTTGTTTCAGTACTAGTTAAAAACAGAGGAAAGAGATAAGAAATTCATTACCAAAAGAAGACAACTAAGAAGTATAATGAGTTTAATAGTTTTTTTGAAGTATGCCAACATATTTAACCAGTTGCTCAGCAAGTCCTCATCTGTCGCACCCATAACTTTTTCTTTCAGGCAGATTCCTTGCACATGAGAGGCCATCGCTTGGTTTAAAGTAGCAAACTCAACTCTTGGTTTAAGATTTTCTCATTTGATGAGCTTCTCTCTGTGAGGTAGTTGCACAGTTGAGGTGTGATGTAAGAAATGTTCCCATCACAGGGAAGTGTAGAGCTCTCTGCTTACAGGGGTGTCATAAAGAGAAAACAGATAAGGTAAAGGCAAGAATTGGGGCCTGAGTGTCCAGGGTCACCTCTCTGACTCCAAACATCCAGAAGCAATGAGAGAGATCATGAAACTGTGAGATGTGGGTAGAGAGGGCTCCGCAGATAGGATACAGGTGTGATATTTAAAATTCTGGAGGAAATGTTAGCACAGAAGATCCTCATTATAGGAATTACTGCAGCAGAACTAGAGTGGAAAAATGGCTCCTTGGGCAGACATAACTCTGAGACATGATCTCAGATCTCATGATCTACGGGAACAGCTGAGGCTGGTGGCTGGCGATTGTCAGTATGGCCGCTGAGGTAATGGCCAGGGTGACCTGATAAAGAACAGTATCAAATGAGAGGTGCATCCAGAGCTCAATGTACATCCCAGAGAGAGTCAAGTGAGTTGCTTTGTTAGTAGGGTAGAAGGCTGAGCTAGCTACCTGTGGTGGGAAGAGAGACCACAAATTTCATTCTATTAGATCAGCAGTGGGATTTTTGAAGACAGAATTACATCTCCAGAGATGATCAGGGCTTGACCTTCCTCACTCATGTGGGATTATACATGCTCCCAGGGCACCTAGAGGCCACACTGTGCATGTCCAGGAAGCCATGTTTTCCTGGGACCGTCCAGGCATTAGCACTTCCGGTCTGATTCCTGGTGTCTTCCTACGGCCTGGGAAACCCAAAACAGTTGACCACTCCATCTTCAAAGTTATAAAGGCAAAATGCATGGAGAGATGTTCTTCTTACAGAATCATGACAAAAAAAAAAAAGGCTACCAAAATAACAAAGCAACTAGAGAGTCATACACCATGAGTAACTAAAGGCAGGGCCTTCGGGATGGCTTGCCCCTTCATAAGGTAATGTGGATGCTTTTGGGTGCTCTATGTAATTTCATTGAGGGATGTTTTACCCCAGTGTTTTTAACAAAATGCCATTTAAATCTGAATTATTGTCCTCTTTTTTTTGTAATTGAGGATAGAATGGAAAGTAGCAATTTCTTTGATTTTAAATAACATTCACTTCTTTTTTTTTTGACCCGAATTGAAGGTTCCAATGATTTAGGGTTAACAGCTTTTAAAATTACAAATCTCATTTTTCTAGAGGAAGAAGTAATATTGTGGGCTTCTCTACTGGCATTTAACAGTTGTTGCCTGTGTTGTTTTCTGCTGTAGCTCACCGTGGCAGTGTAGCATGGTGGTTAAGCAAGTGGGAGCTGTGTGTAAATTCCACCTCTCAGCCCTCCCTGGACAGACCTTATAAACCTCGATTAAACTCATGGTGATGTATTTTACTCATGTATAAAATAGGGGTGATGTCCATAAAGGCAATATTAACTTGAAAGTTTTTTTGTTAGGATTAAATGAGATACTGTGTAGAGTTTTTTCAGTGCGTCTGCTATATAAGAAAACAATGAATGTTTGTTTCTGTTCTTTTTAAATAATGTATAATTCCTCTACTAAGTTATAAACTCTTTGATCAAAGGCACATTGTATACTTTTGCTCACCTGTTTAGTATCTGGTAGAGAGAAAGCATTAGATAATTGTTAGCTATTGTTAGGTTTACTTTTTTTAAAAAGAGAGACAATATCTTTCGTACTCTTCTTTCAATCTAGATTTCTCTCTTTCTTAAAATTTCAAGAGAAATGTAAAAAGGAAACAAACAAAACTTGAAGATTGATTGGGCCTAAGTACTTATGCATTATTATGAAGAAATGGGCATTTTTGTAACTCCAAGTTTACTGCCTTTTACGACCTCTACACTAGTTCCCTACAGCAAATCAAGAATCTAAAAATCTGGCTCTTGATTATTTTCCCACTAAAAACTCCCAAAAAACAAAAACCATTTTTTTCTTAGAGTTCTCTTAAAAGTCCTGAAAATTAGAGGTTTGAACTAGATGGGGGTCTGAGGTCGTGTCCAGCTCTAGTCTTCAGCATTTCCAGTAGAGAGCAAAACAAGACAGCATACAATTAAGTGCTAAATTGTGTGCTGAACAACATGATAATACTTTTTTAAAAAAATAATCCTTTCAGTGGTAATGTTTCCCTTTTCCTTTGGAAAATCTGCTTCCCTTGTGCAGGACTATTCTGACTCAGATGCAAACAATAGAGAACTCTTCGGTAGAAGATTTCCCAGCTGCTGAGGCATGGCTGACATTACCATGCCCATATGTCAGCCAGGGAATCAGGCTCCTGGGTAGGAGGTTCATGAGCTAAAGGAGGGCAGCAAATTACTCCATGATTAATGCACCTCGTAGCAGGGCAGAAGTGAGGAGTGCTGTCTCTGTACCTGGGTGTAGCTGGACAGCTCACCACCTCTCAGGCTGCCTCTTTTTGGTATCATTCTTGTGTTTCACCCTTTCCCTATGTAAGATAAATTGCTCCACCCTCTGTCTGGAAAAGCTTTCAGTGTATTACACAGCTTTAAGGGCAATGGTACAGGATACTTTCTAGCACTAATTTGCTAAATGTAGACTGGCGGTTATTCTTTAATTTATTAGTAAATATGTGCAATACATAATTACTGATTTCATTGTGGGTATTTGGTGCATATACATGGTACATTTGAATTTTTAAAAATTAATTTTATGGGGCCAGGGATTTCTCTCAGCACTTCTGCTGCCTGCCTTGCAAGTGCAAGGACCAGAGTTCAATCCCTGGTACAAAAAAAAAAAAAAAAAAAAAATTGGGACATTTAAGGTCTGCAGTGTAATGACATTCATCACTGGAAATTTGCACCTTTACAAATCCATCTTTGTTCTTATTTTTCCCCCATTCCTCTGCCCTCCCTTCAACCCCTCTGCCCATCCATATCTATAAAGACTTTGTTTCCATTTTTTCTTACTTCCCTCTTCTCTCCTCTCTCCATTTCTTGGCCCCTTTTCCATTTTGCAGAAGATCTATCTCTGTCTCCTTTTATCTATTTTTTTTATTTTACTTTTAAATTTATTTATAATCTGGATTTTTCATATAAGAGAATATATGTTTCATAAGCTTGTTTGTCTGATTTATTTCACTTATCATTATGGACTTAAGGTACCTCCATTTTCCTATAAATGACTGAAGTTTATCTTTCCTTATTGCAGGGTAGTGGGTCTAGATACCACATTTTCTTTATCCATTTGCTCATTGGTGAACATAGTGGTTGCTTCCAAGATGAAGGTACTATGAATCGGGCTGCTATAAACATGGGTATGCATTTATCATTGTGATATGATGTCTTTAACTCTTTCTGGAAGATACTGAGTACAGAAACAACTTTATTTCTCCTGAGTTCCTCTATCAAGAAGAGTTTCACAAAAATCTGTGATAGACTTTAAGTTATAGCTTAGAATATGCTATCCTCCCTTTGACGGTACCCTTTTCAAGCACCACTGCTATGATCAGGCAAGTTTCAGTAGAAAGATACATGTTTTAATTCTGAAATCTCACTCTCTTAAGACCGTCAAGGACTCCATTTGCTTTTATCCCTAACAGTTCATCCCTGCTCCATTTTTTCTCATGCGGACCACCAGCATTGCAAGTAAGGACAAGTATGCATAGAGGTACTGTGTTCTAGTCATGATTTTCCTTGTTGCTTTGAGTTCTTGAGACATTGTTGTGGTGAGTGACACTCATAGCTATTTCTGGTGAGGAGGGTGCATTTGTACCTTGTACAGAGAGCCATGGATTCGGGTAACTTGCATGTATCTAGTCATACTGCTAGGCACCCTTCCTTCTAGAAATAGGGAAAAGAGAAACAAAGTTTGCACTGGGCAGGAGATACTCTGCACAATTTTAGATGTCTGAGCAGCCACAACAAATAAGACTTGGTACAGGCGAAATGGCAACACTCCCGTGTTCCTCTTTAGTAGTAGCTTGCTGTTTCTCCGTCTTATGCCCTGACCCTCAGGGACATCTGGGCAGGAAGTGAAAGACTCTGGAACCACTGAGGCCATGGTGAAGTGACTACATCTCACCTGAGCCTGTGGCCTTCCATAAGATTGGTCCCTACCTCAGCTTCCTTTTTCCTCTTGTCTCACCCCAAATCCGCATCTCGCTAGCACGCTCTGTGTGCACTCTCTACATCGAGGCTGCTTTGTAGCCAGAGCTCTTTTTCATTGGCATTCTCTCTCCTCTTATTTCTAGTTGGTGAGTTAATTCTTATGTTATCTACTCCACAGTGTAGCGTGGTAGACGGTGTGTGTGTGTGTGTGTGTGTGTGTGTGTGTGTGTGCGTGCGAGGATTTATGGTTTGGAAGGGAAACCAAGTAAACTTTTGTTGTTTGGTGAATAAGAATGGGAGTAAGAGAGAAACTTATTCTTTAGAGTACTTTTATTTCTCTATTTGCTTCCTGACTTGTTAATTAAATGCCTGTCTCTTAAGAGCTCAGGCTTTATGACAACACAGACTGTTGGTTCTAGTCACACTGCATGTCTAGACTCTACCTCAGTGCTTGGAACATATTAGATGCTTAGTAAATATCCGGTGCGTGGAAAATAGGAACACATTCTTTTAAATTGTGGGTCATTGTGTGCTTATGTGAGCTGTATGTGTGCATCTCTGTGCAAGAGAGAGAGGAAAAGGAGAGGGAGGAAGACACCTGTATATCCAGGTTCTCAGCCGTTGGGCTCAGAGTTCTTAGGTATCAGCAGTTTTTCTCAGTGTTTGCAGGCCAAAGAAAAAGAAAAACAGTATATAATAGTTTTATTGCTTGTGTAGGTTTAAATAATTTAATAAATATTTATGTCCTCATGATTTAATGACCATTTAAAAAGAACACATAAATTGAAAAACATTATTTCATTCTTATCCAGTATTATATCCAAATAGGATATGTATGGTTATTGGGTACCACATTTCTGAAACTTTGAAATTGGATTAGACAAAGCTAACCTCATTTCCTATTTTGCATTCTACATTGATTTTCTGATTTTGACTGCTAAAAAAAAAATCCAGTTTTACAGAGACATGATACCTTCGAAAGGAATCTAGCACAGTCTAATGTTGAAAAGGTGAGCAAATCGTGCTGGTAATTTGTAGCTTGTCTAACAGATATTAAGTACCTCTGTTTTTCTCTAAAATTTAATATCTTAAGGTAAATACATTGTTGGCTTCCTGGGGTACATGGATGTGAAATTCAGAAACTACATGATTACCTTCCTTTGGATTTCAGATACTGGAAGAATCATAGGGAAAGTGGGTTAGGATGGTGATGGGTAATAAAAGTGTCAATCATTGTGAATTACTTTTTAATTATAGCAAATTGTCATTCAATAACAATCATTATTGTATTTGTCTTGGTTTAACTTTGCTTAGTTGAGTTTGATGCAACCTCATCTTCTTATTCTCAAAGGCTATGGATCTGAAACAGTAAGACCTATCTCTCACATTGGACGTGGGAACTGGTCTCCTTTCTTGACATTGCATGGGTTTAACCTTCACATGTTGCAGCCCATGGGGCATGGCTGTCCGTTTGTAACTTAAAAAAGTAGTATAAGGTTGTGGTGGGTGGTGGTTACGGCTGGTCGTGCTCACACTCAGTGTTACAGGGCTTGCAGCATCTGCAAGACATCACAGCTCTGTGTCAACCTACAAATTATCTGTTAGAACTGGAGGAATTTACGTAAAAGGCTTCCAGTGAAATCCTATGACAAATAGGCACAATTGAGCACCAGCCTTCTCTCTAAATGCTTTATTCTTGGCATTTACAAATGTTCATTATTACCATTGTGCATTCTTGAGTCAGGTTGGGTGTTAGAACATAATTTATAACCCTTATCATCCCTTCTTTTGAAATGCAGCTAACCACTGCTCTTTTCTGGTTGAAAAGTGAGATTTCAGAGGGTTAAATGAGTTTCACCCACACACAAAGTCAATATCAAGTATTTCTTTAAGTGTGGACTCCTTGACAAACACATCTCTCCATTTGCGAGGACCATGAATTTAAAGCATCTGGTAATAACAGGCCTTTTCTCCTTCTCTGAGCTGGAAGCTCCTTGGGAAATGGTATCCTGCCAAAGTGCCACTGCAATAAACCTGGTGTCCTAACGCTCGTCTCAAAATGCCAGTGAAGCAAGACTGGCAGCAGGCTAATTTGGGAGAACCTTCTGCCTCAGCCTCCTCCAGTCACTCCTACTGATCAACTCACCCAAGAGCTATTCAGCTTGTCAAGTATTTCAGGGGCAAGGGAGAGGGGGAGAAAAGGAACTGGGAGCCAGCCTTGCCTTTCTGTTTAATATCTGGCTTCCCTGTGTCACTGATCCTCTACTGAGGACTTCAGGGGCTGCAGTTTCCCCATTAGATGAAGGCTTCAACGCACCTCCAAATACGGAACACACTTCTAGGTACATGTAGTATTACTTACGATAAATGAGATTTTGACAAAATGTAAAACTTTTACAAAATCTTTAGCTTGGCATTCGTGTGTGCTAGCTGATTCCATCCCCGATTATCTAATCAGTTGTTTCTTTCAATCACACTCATCCATTAAATGATGGGAAGGAAGCAGTTGCATTGCTGGGACGTATTGACGAGAGTCCTTCCACAGTAGTTGTTTGGGATAAGAAAGTTACAAATAATAATCCGTGTTCTGTAAATGCTTCCTCTTGGGGAGGTCAAACCCAGGCTCTCCATGGCTGCACTTACTCTCACATATGCACAGATTTGAGCTCTTTCGATCCATCACATATGGACAAAGCCAAAACAAAAATGATCCTAGCTTCCATGGCATGAGCACACACAAAGCTCTCCCCGTATAGTAAGCATCGATAATTTCTTTCTTTTCTTGCTCCCTATTCACATTCTTGTTATGGATTTCAATACCTTCCCGAAGTAGGTGTGCAGGCAGAAATTTGTATCGATGCACATGACCCCCAGGGTATACTCTTTAGCGGAATATAACAGGTCAAGACAAATCATTAAGTAAAGAAATCCTATGCAGCATGCAGGAATGATGGAAAAGTGAATATGGTCCTCAGAGGTCCCGACTCCTTGCTTGTAAGCACGACTTACCCTAAGGCAGTGATTCTCACTGTGCAGCTGGTGAACAGCTCACTCTCACTAAGCTTAACAAGCAGTGTGTGGCTTGTTATGGCCTGATTTACTACGTGTGTCCTGTGTGTGCTTCTGACCCCCTCAGAAGGAAGCCTCAGACAAGACATGTAGGTTCCACCCTCTGTCTCTTAGTGTGGGGCACATGTTTATTCTCCTCAGAGACGCAGGATACCTGTTACCACAAGGCGAGGCCTCAGTCCTCCTGGCGATCGGGAGGGGTGGGTGTGGAAGCACATCACCGTAAAGAGTGGTGGCAGGTTATTCGTATCCACATTTGCTTCCAAGGAAAGATGGTGGTGGTATTTGGGGGTTACCATTAGACGGTCCCATCAGAGTGTCAGAGGATTTAGATATATATAGGAATCCATGGCTCCAAATATGAGCAGAGCAAGGCAGGGAGGAAGAGGAGACAGCGTGGGAGAGCGGAGGGGAGGCGGGGAGAGAGAGACTTCACTGGTGTCAAAGAATGGGCTCCGCCCTTTTGTCCTTCCTCATTCTTTTTCTTGCATACTGAGGATTTTCTGCTCAGGATTCCCTTCAGGAAGCTATCTTCTGTATGATATGCATATGCTAGGTACGACTTTCCCTCATTTTAATGTAGTTGCTTTGTAGTAAGTGGCCAAGGAGTTACTCTAATCTCACAGAGACCAGCTTTTACTGATTCTGTGTTTTAACCTCACTGTTTCACTTCGCACTGCCAGGCTTCTAGGCCATTTTCTTTTTAAAAGCAACTCATTTTCATTTTCAATCAATTTCTCTCCACGATTTTTCACATAGCTTTCTTCACACTACTAATTTCACTTTAGAGCTGGCATCCTCCCCGACATCCTTGGACTTGCTGTGCTAACATGTTTAAACACGATTAGTCTTTATTAATGTAAAAGAGACAAAGCTCCAAGAATCACACACCTCTTAATTTGCTATAGTTCCAAAGGGGGAAACCTCAGCCCTGGGACTGAAAATGCTTGAGCTCTTCGAGATGTAGATATACTGGGCATTTTGCAGCCAACTGGAAAGTTTTCCTTTATACTTGTAGACTGAATTTTCTGCTAGTTCCATTCCAGTTCAAATCCCTGCTATATCAAATGTCATAAAATATCCAAATAATCAAAATGCATTTCCTGGTCACAGAGGATGATTAATTTATATGCAGCAATGCTTGTTACCATTTAGTTCGGAAAATGAAGGGATTTTGGTATCATTATGGTGGTGTTTTACCTCTATTATAATCTTGAGAATAATACTCTTCCCATGTGGTATTCATTTATTCTGTTATTCAACTAACATGTGCCAAGAATTGTGGTAGTCATTCAAGAAAGGGCAGAATCATGTGAGACTACCCACAAAGGTTAGAGTCCAGTACTGTGTGTGTGCAGTATTTTCATGAAAGTTCTAAGATATAAAAAGATTTGATATTTTATTTAATGGGTACATAAATGTGTCTGATACTTGATGGAAGCTGCCTATTTTAGAAAGAGTTGATATGGGTTACATATATGCAATAAGACATTAACATAAGTTTAAAATATTAAGAACCATATAAAGGAGTGGAGGACTTCATTGGATCTGAATGCTAAGCTAGGGATATTTTCTACAATTGCACATTAAATTCAGTTCCTGTGCAGGTCAGAAAGGCCAAAAAAGAAATTCTATGAGTCATGTAGTATTCATTTTCTAATAAAAGGATATATGCCAGTTGGTAAGAAGAAAATGTTCCCGGAAATAAACTCAACCATGAATCTAACCATGGATTACTATAATAAGAGAAAATATCTTTAATAGTGACCTTTAGAAAAGATGCAGAAAATGTATTCATTTAGTAATTTCTTATACTGACCCCTCAGAGAAATCAAGAGAATAATGCTAAATTACAATCATCCAGTATATTTCTACAGGGAATAAAATGACATAGTCATCCTGACCCTGGGAGCCTGGTGTTTTGGGACAGCTGAGGTGGCTGCATGAGTCACCCAGCTTTGTGGATGGGTTTGCATCTTCCTACAGCATCTCTCCAAGAACTCACTCACCCTACAGTGCCCATTCCCAGTTCACACCAGTTCACACTGACCGAGTTCACACCCGTGTCACTGTTCTGCAGGCCCTCAGCACTGGACTGTTCTAAGTAAAGGGCAGACCTTTGCCTTCCTAACTTCCATGTTCACTGGGGCTGCAACAGCTGTCTCAGCAGTGTATTCAGCAGCTCTTGGGATCAGCTACGTCCTCGCCAGCATTACTGCCAGACTCGTGCACCAGCTGCTGTAGCTCATTGTACAGTATCATAAGGTGACTTGTGCCAAATGAGTGAAGGATTTCTTTTAATCAACTGATTGGGAAATATTTAAAATCTTAACAGCTAACATGGTTAATCCATGATACTTTCCTTTTCTCCTGAAAAGCATATCCCTTTACTCCCACTGAATTTAGTACTACACTGTTTCCAATTTTTTGGACATTTATTGCACATATTGATTTTCTTATCTACCAGCCTATAAAGTCTGTGAAGGCAAGATCTTGTGACTAGTTTGATTTCTGTGTCCCATGGAGCTTGGCAAAGGCCTTCATATTCATTAAATAGCCATTAAGCGGATAAATGAGTGTGAGAAATTTATCCATCGTTTGGTTCTACACATAGTTTGAAATAGGTGAGATATCTTGTGATTTTCAATCTCTGTTGATATTAGATTGAACAATTAAAGAATTTAGTTTACCTATTGTCATATGGGCTGAATTTTGCATTTAAACATGAAGATACAAAGTTTAGATTCTTGAAGGTGAAAAATCAGCAAAAATGTTTGGTAACAAGACTCCAAAGCTTGAAGTACTTTCTCTTTGAGGTTGAGCACCAGTAGAAAATTCATTTTGATCCAGGGAACCATTTTAAGAAGCTTGAAGAAGTTTCTCCTCCAATTTTGTTATTGAGATCATAATTACTGCCTAAATTGGGAAACTTTTTAAGCAAGAAAAAGGCACTTTTAATAATTTTTCCAGGGCTTCAGGCAATAGCCAAGACCATCTTCGGGCAGATGGGAATGTACGACCATCTAATTATCAATTTTTATCTTCTGAATGAAAAAAATCGGTTGTGAGTGTGACAATCTGCTTTCCGTCTCCTTCAGTGGCCATGAAAAAGGCAAGAAGCAACACATTTAGGGCATTTTACAGTCCCCCAAACTGCCCTTGTTTTATGTGTGCAACAGATTGCTGTCTTTCTTGTGTCCTTCATCTCATCTCAAAGCACAATCTCAATTCCTAAGCATGAAAGAGAATGAAAGTAAAATGGCATCCTTTTTCACTCTAGAATACAGAAGACGAAAATTTACACAGCAGCACCATCAAGCCAAGTAGCAGGTGAAATTCTTAGAGAAGAAAATTACTTTCTTGTAGACGTCTGGAATTTTAAATTGCAAGCTTCAACATTTGGTAAGATTCTAACAGAGAGGACAGACTCAATTTCGGAGCAACACCCATCAGCACTTTTTCCTTCATTGGAAGGGATATTTGATCTCAGCTCAGAGAAGCACAGGAGTAGGCAGAATGGTTGATATGAAATAAAACAGAAGTCGATACACATGGGGCGCCGATTCTGGCTAAGTGATCAGTCATTTCCCTACAGCACGAAGTGCCTGGATTTATCACAGTAATATTCTTGTTTGCTTCCTGTAGATCATGCAGGTCTCATTATATCTATGCTGATGGCCTTGTCACCAGTGCTGATGGTCAGAATTCTCTTTGTTGGACTTATGCGGCTCAATGCCCTTCAGTAATTGAGGGTGGAACACAGTATTAAGGGCTAAGGAGAAAGCAAGTGTCTCCAGTGAGATTCTCTCTCCCCTAATACATTTGTCAGAAATGATCAACAGGTTTTCTTGGAACATTAAAAGGAGTGGAAATAAAGGGGCCCTCTCCGGTTTCATAAATAACACGAGGGTATCCATTCCACTCCTCTTCACCCTGTAATTTGAAATGGAAAAAATCTCTTGTGCATAAACTGCCTTTCCTGAATGTAGCACAATTAATCCAGAAGGGAAGTGGGAATGGGTAGCAGTTTTTTTTTTTCTTCAAATTTTGTTGTTAATTAAAAAAACAATTATCTAGGATTTCTAATTACTTCATAACTGCTGTACGGCCTGTACCTGCTCCTAAGCAAATTAGTAAGATAATGCTAGAAACATCTTATTAAATAGAATTGCTCTTTCTCCTCCTCCAGATTCACACATCTACTTAATGGGCCTCTTTTTGTGCAACACCTTTGTGAAACGTTTATATCTATTAGGTTATCTCACGGTTATTAGCATTGTGGGTTGACTTCTAACTTTTTTTTTTTTTTATTGAGTTTATTGGTACATTTAGGGATACAGTACAGTTACATTCATTGTTGGGATCATGTACCTTTACATGGCAAGTCTTGATTCTCATTTTTTCCCCTTACCTCTGCCCTCCCTTCACCCCCTCCTCCCCTCCCCATCTACAAACACTTTATTTTCATCTTTTCATTCTCTCACATTTTTTTCTTTTCCCTTTTTGTTCTTCCCCTACGTATCACACCTTCCCTACACCTTTAGCTCCT